CCCCAAAACCCCAAAACCCCAAAACCCCAACGTAATATTTAGTGGATAAAAGTAGTATTAGAGAGATAGATTGACAATATCAATTATAATAATATACATACCTTATTTATCAATGGAGTCTATTTAATAGCCTGAAGTGATTCAGATTAAACCAGAAGAACCCAATTAGATTGTGCAATCAGAGAGCAAGCATTTCAAAGAGTACTATTTATGCTTGACTGGAGCTCAGCCTCATATGATTGAGAAGGATTTGGTCAAGTTTTTCATGAAAAATTTCAACCTAGAGGATTTACCTCTTAAAGGAATAATGAAGAAAAGAGGAAATAATTTCGCATTCTTTTTGTTCCAAGATTAGGAGTAGATGACTAAGTTTAAGGAACTGTTCTTATGTGAGATTATGCCTAAAATGCCAAAGATGCGCTTAAAGGAAGTCTCTAAGAAAATGAATGCCCGTGAATTTAGACCAGTTAAGGATAGAGAGGAGATGAAGGAGGAATCTGAGAGGAAAAAGGAGAAGCAGATGCAGAATGTGACTAAAGAGGAAATTGAGGAGGAGATGAAGATTAGCGTTGAGGATAGAGTTACTCCGTATCATAATCTTGAGTATAAAGACCAGATTAAGAAGAAGGAGTAACAACTGATTGATGTCTTAAGGTCATTTGATGAATAATTGAAAAAAGACATTAAGAAAAATAACGAGGTAAAGCCTAAGTGGTACCCAGAGACTGAATAAAATATTCCATGCCCACTTTCAGAAATAATTGAATGCGATGAGGACTATATCAACGAGTACAGAAATAAAGTAGAATTTACAGTTGGTCGTAGATACGAAGATAATGAAATATGTGTAGGGTTCAATAAGGGAAATATGAATAAGGGCATTCTTTATGTTGATTACCCAGATACTATCAAGCCTATCTCTAAAAATTCAATTAGAGCTGCCAAATAATTGGAAAAAATTATCAAAGAGAGTTAGATTGAGCCTTATGATAGGAAAAGTAATCAAGGTTATTGGAGAATATTACTCTATAGAGAATCGAAGAAGACCAAATAAGTGCTTATATGTGTAGTTGTTTCTTAAGAAAATCAAGTTAATGAAGAGCAATAATTGGAAATTGAACAAAAGCTTAAAACTGAATTTCTCAGTTCTAGTGAGAGTAGTTAAAATGAATATAAAACAGTCTCACTTTCTATGATATTTTCAAATGAAATTTCTGGAGGATATAAAGAAACAGACAGAGTAAAACTTCTAGGAGGATAGGATTATTATGAAGAGAAATTATTTGATTTCAATTTTAGAGTGTCCCCATTCGCTTTCTTCTAGGTAAATACTAATGTCTTCGAAAAGATGCTAAGGTTAATAGAATATTTCACCTAGATTAATGAAAATACAGTAGTGCTTGATATATGCTGTGGAACAGGAGCTATAGGTATTTGCCTATCCCAGAAGGCTCGTAAAGTAATTGGAGTTGATATTGTTGAATCTGCTATTGAAAATGCTAAAGCCAATGTCTAGCTTAATAAAGATGTGATTAATCCAGATAAATGTGAATACTATGCTGGGAGAGCAGAAGAGGTTTTACCAAATTTAGTCAAAGATTAATAAGCTCTTGGATTATAGATTATAGGAATAGTTGATCCACCTAGAAGTGGATTGCACAAGGATGTATTAAAAGCACTCAGAACATGTAAGGGCTTGGATAGATTAGTTTACGTATCTTGTAACCCTCAAAGCTAGATGAAAGACCTATAGTGTTTATGCTATGAAACCTCAAAGAAAAGAAAGGCCCCTCCTTTTAAACCTCTATAGTGCATTGGTGCTGATCTATTTCCACATACTAATCATATTGAAAGTATTGTCTTACTTGAAAGATTTTATGATTGAGATCTATCATTAGATATTAGAAAGAGAGAATTTGCATCTCCAATAATTAATAAGTTATTTTACTGATTGATATAAATTCTTCATTCATGGGGTTTTGGGGTTTTGGGGTTTTGGGG